TTGAACGAAAATAAATTTGACGATCCTTCTTTAAAAATTACAAATACAAATTAAGTTTAAATTGTTAAAATATATTAATTCATACGTTTACCTCAGTTAATATTTTGAATTTACTTATACATTCTGTACTTAACAGAATTTGTACTTGCAAGTAGGAATGCAAATGGTTATTCCAGTAAAAATTTCCTATTGGTCAGAAAGTGCGAGGAGGAAGAACACTAGGACACTCCAGAAGAATGTGGTAATATGTCTTTGAAACAAAAAAAATCACTTGAAGTTGCTCTGAGTTTGTCTTCTATCATAATTATTCAATCCACGTTCCTTTGGAAATAAACTTGAAAATACAGCTCCTTTTCTCAGTATATATATATTTACTTTCCACAAGTTCCAAGGTAATCAAGGGCAATAATGAAACAAATTAAATACTCCTCAACGAATAAGGCCACGTAAAAGTGTCCAAAATTTAGAGGAATGAAAAAAAAGAAATAAGAAAGCTTCTCTACCAAAAAATAATCACTTTAACCGCGACATTAACTTCGGCAATTTTGCTACCTTCGCACGATGGCTGTGCAAGGCGCGGTCCGATGACAGCCCACGCCTTGCGGCCAGAATTCCTCCCCTGAGCTGCTGACAACTGACCTCCCCCGTACACCACCACCACGAACCCGTGGTGGTGAACTCTAAAAACTTGAAAGATATTCAATTTCGCAAAGGGGACCTGGGTTGCATGTTTGCATTTAGGTTTGAAAATGAATTAACGCGTAGAATTGGAATCAAATTTAATACGGACCTCAACGAGGGCTGACTTGACAGAGACCTGCCGAACCCTGGTGCTTAAAAACGGATCCGTTTTCAAGCTCTCGACTACAGCTCTGTACACAACCGAGTATCCCCTCCGGGTATGTTTCCCTTCCCCGATAACAATGGTAAGCCGCGGGATTCTCTTTTCGCAGCAAAGCTGAACACGGCGAGCAAGCACTTCCAGTGCCGCTTTCACGTGAAAACCATGCAAATCGAGCGTCATGATGGGGTCCGTCTCCAGCCGCTCTTGCTCCAGAGCAAGCATCGCCAGACGATTAAGTCGTTGGTACTCCGCACCAAGATCGCGGCCTTTCTGACTCAACACCTTCGCAGTCCTACCATCACCACGTAGGAAAGCTGCTGAGGCCTGGCTCAGCACACGAATCCGACATGTATTGACAGCATAACTGCATTTGCGAATGCGACGCCAGTCTCCATACATATTTAGCGCCTTTTTCATCTCATTACGAATGCTTAAGGAGATCTCAGAAGAGTCTTGCATAGTCCCTCGAGAAGGACGAGGCGAGTCCGGCAGCTTCGGTGAGCACATTGCGCTCCTGGAATCGTGGTAAGGGGTGAACCGTATCGCCTCTCTCCCCAGCGCCTCCCGCTCAACGGGGGTGAGTAGCTCAGACGCGAGCTGATTAAGACAGTTAATCGTAGCACTCGAGTCCTTGTTAGAATTGCCGAATATGCTACGGACGATGCTCGGTTCAATCTCGGGGAACATCGCGCAGATCTTTCCCAGACTCAATTGTTCGGCATGGTTCAGCTCCCCACCCCATACGGTCCCATAGTCACTTTGGGTAACCTTTTCCTGTGAACACAACAGAACCTCGTATGCCTCCGAAAGGTTATTGTTGAACCCACCCAACACCGCCTCGATGGTGCCTATCTCCAGAGTTGGGAATAGTGCATGAAGTGTCAGGAGGTTATCTGTAGATTCACACCGACTACGCTCCTTAGCACTCTCTTCCTCTTCTTCCTCGGCAAGGGCCTTCGATAATGCATTGTCTAAATCATTCACTGACATACGCTCTACCCTTTCTAAGATGTTGACGGCAGTATTGGGATCGCCATTGGTTAAGCGCAGCAAATTCAATAGCATGGATGGTTCAGTATCCGGGAATATCCCTACGAGCCGTAAAAAATCATCCATCTCCTTTTCGCTGCTAATACCCATGGTATCATTTGGGGTGTCGTCACTTGGATAATTATCAGGGGAAGTGTAGTCTCCAACCTCTTCCCACAGACTGTCATTATCAATTGTATCTGTCTGCTCCTGTAAAGGCTCTTGCATACTTGTGGCGCACTCTGGAGCACCCGAAAGCTCTTCACCCATCGCCGCAGAGGGCCCTTCAACGAGTTGTAACGAACACACAGCCTCATGGCTCGACTCGTCTGTCTGGCCCCTAGAGGGGATATACACACTCTGAATGATGGCTTGGGGCAATGCAGTCTTCGCGGTCCCCACTTGCTGGACCTTTGTTCTGATCTCGTCAGCTTCGTGCCGATAGCGGCAGGACTCTCCCGTATTCCTGCATTGACCCATAAGATGAAAAACGCAAATGTCAGCGTCATGATTGGCAAACCAGCATT